GCGACCTGCGATCCCTCTCAGAGACTGCCTGCTTGTTTCTGCTCCTTCTAACAGATTTGTTCCAAATAGAGAAGCAAATAGCTCCGAGATTCAGAAGAGGACCTTGTTGCTTTAGCTGGGAACACAGAGGATCAGATTATCACACAAAACAACAGAGAGGTGTCCATGTATCCCCCTGCAAAACGTGTTCGTTTTCAGTCATTCGTTTTGCACATAAATCTCCTTTTTTTTAATGCAGGAATGCAAAATAAAGGTTATATTAATGTTATTCTGTCTTTCTTGCAACAGGCGCAACAGCAGGATATTCGTTTTGCACATACATCTCCTCATTTAGATGCATTTTACGGCACTCATGCATGAACAAAGTATTTTTTAGGCGTGTTATTGATGCTTTTCTGTCTTTCTTGCAGCTCAGGCGCAGCTCAAAACATCTGTGATTATTTCTGTTATCCATCATTAGCAGGCTTTTCGTTTTGCACATCTCCTTCCTTAGATGCATTTACGGCACACATGAACAAACAAGTACTTTTAAGGTATTATATTGATGTCTTTCTTTCCTTCTTGCAGCCCAGGCGCAGAATAACTTGCTTGGTAAGTGCAGAAGACCCAGAACTGCTTTCACCAGTCAGCAGCTGCTGGAGCTGGAGCATCAATTCAAGCTGAATAAGTACCTGTCACGACCGAAGCGCTTTGAAGTGGCGACCTCCCTCATGCTGACAGAAACTCAGGTAATTTACTGCAACTCTGACTCATTTTAAAACATCTCACCTGACCGCCTTCCCTTTAAAAAAAAAAATGCACTTCAGTTCAATTTTCTGGAAGTAATTTAGAAGCTATAATTATGTTTCTTTGTCTTGATGGAAATACAGACTTCCTGGTTCTGAACAAATAAATGTTCCGTAACATTTAAGAATACTTTGGAACATGGCCCTTTACGTCTTTCTATTGCAGCCTATTTTCTTTTGATTTCATGTATTTTTAAATTACATATTAACATATTACATACCTTTGTAAATAAATGTTTTCAGTGTAGGATTCTTTTAACACCGCGGAGGTTAATGTCAGCTGGACTGTCGACCTTTACGCAATCTTTACGCACAGGTGCTTCCTTCTACAAACCACAAAACAAAACAAAAGGGTTTCAATATTTCCTGCTGTGATTTTATCAGCAATAACACCTTACAGCTCTACCTCTACATTATGTTGCTGCTAACACGGGGATCAGTAAAGGTCCATCTCCTCTTATCCATCTTATAAAACTAATGTGTCTTATTTGGTTCTTTGCGGGAAACTCTCATGTTGACATTTACGCGTATTTACGCACAGGTAGCCTCGTTTGTTTAAACGACTGAAACTAAATAATATTTATTTTCCTCAGGTTAAAATCTGGTTCCAGAACAGACGTATGAAGTGGAAGCGGAGCAAGAAGGCCAAGGAACAGGCGGCTCAGGAGGCCGAGAAGCAGAAAGGAGGAAAAGGAGGCCAGGACAAATCTGAGGGAACGGATAAGTCGGACTATAAGAGCAAGACGGACTCAAAAAACGGAAGAATCAGAGACTTTAGAGACAGTGACGACGACGAGGGGGACACCTTCCTGTACAACTCGTCAGACTGCTCCTCAGAGGACGAGGCGAATCACACCAGTGATATCAGTCCGCAGCCTTGAAGCTTGGGGAAAACGTGGAGATTTGTAATGACTGTGGGGGGGGGGGGGGGGGGGGGGGGGTTTCGCTATAAAAAAAATGCATGCAATCCAACCTCTGATCACTTCCTTGGAGCATTTGTTTGTCATGAAAAACATAGGTCAAGAATATAAGATCATTGTGTCATAAAGCAGCAGATTTAGGGTTTATTTCAGGAGCATCTCCACTGAAACTGTTGCATGGCTTCAATGCAAACTGCTGTGGTTCAGTAACACCTCACAGCTCATACAGTAAAAAGTCATTTGTCTTTATTTGTTCCTTGTGGTGTTCCGTAGCTGAAAAACAATGTTATGTTTATTTTTCTACACTGTATTTATAAATCCCAGTGCATGCTAAATTATTGTTTAGCGTCTCTCATTGTGCAGAAACAATGTGAAATAAAATGTTTTTATATAAAAACTCATGCAATTTCAGCGCAAGATTTTTTAAGAGAAAGTAGTCCCTTTGATTTACGGTGTGCTGCAGCGCGGAGGCACACAGAGGCTCGTGTTTTCCGCCTCGCTCTGACAGGTCGGGTCATGGGAATCTCATTTAATAGGCTGTCGGATCTGTGCAAACGGTCAGAGAGAGCAAACAGCGGACTGAGGGGAAACATTTCACACCACTATAGCAATGGCTGCTGGCGTTAATAAAGCTGTGAGTCGGCCAGGGGGAAACTGGCCTGCGGCACAGGAACCACTCTAAAACTTAATTTAGAATATAATCCTTTATTGTCATTATACAGGTAGAATGAGATGAGTGGAGCTACTCCTTTGTTTTAAGGTGCCATCAACAATACAAAAAAACAAACAAGAGACGTACAACATTCAGGAGAAGACAACAAGCATTCATACTTCAATATGCAGATCAAGTTAAAGTGCAGGGATATATCGGTTTAAGTACAAATAAATATGTTTGTATATATATTGTGTTAAGCCTGGATACAAACACATTTACGTTGTTTTACTTTTTATTTATACGAGCAGATTTAGATAATATTCTATATGTGTTGTAGTTGAGACCAGTCTTCGGTCTTGAGACCACTTTTTAAGGGCCTTGGTCTTGACTACAACACTATCTTCTAACCCAAAAGCCTAAAGGTTTTGTATCCAGTGGAGGAAGAAGTACTCAGATCTTATACGTACGGTGGCCTACAGGTGCAAACGCATTATAACACACTTCCATCAGAAGAAACTACAGTGCAGCTTCAGAAACGATGCAAATATAAAAACACAAATGTGCCAAAACATCTTCACCAACTTCAGGAAAAGTGCCCAGCTTTTAGAAGACATTCACAAACTAGGTCACTTTTGAATGTCCCCTGGTTTTAAGCTCTATATTTTCACTATTTCATTTTTGCAGTGCTTTTTAGTAAACACTGTTTCAAGCTACAAGCTTCACCACCGTATATCATTCAGTAAAAGTAGTTTTAGCAGCCAAATATATTTTAATTCTGAAAGTACTGAATATCCAATATGTTACATCACTTGGTTTGAAATCAGTGATGCATTCAGGTGACTATCCTTTTTATTCTGCAGCCTGTAAAGGTCAGGTATTTCCATCCAGTACATTATATGTATTAGTTGATTTAACTTGATCAACAAAAACCTGTAACTCATGTTGTGGAGTAAAAGTATAAAGTGGCATAACATGGAATTACTTAAGTACGTATATCTCTAAATTGTACTTAACTACATCATGCACCACTGATTATCCAAATACACCTTAATGTGGACTTTTGACTTACATTTTGTTTTTAAATATCAAAAAGGCATTTATTTAAAAAAAAAATGCATCAAAAAAAGGAACTGTAGGTGAATTGAGTTGATTCACTTCCTCAAAAGCGAACAAAACACCAGCCTCATTTTCCTACCTACACACAGCGTTATTTATTCAGTGCTATCTAATGACCTTTCACTATTTTTAGGCACTGTCTGACAATGTGACTGAGCTTTTAAGGCCAAAAACAGGTTAGTGCAGAAAGCAGTCTGTATTACGTTCCTCTGTTCTTCCCGCCGTCATTAGTGTTGAACTGTAGCCGGGGGGGCTGAGCGATTATGAGCCGTTTGTAACAGGATTACTGAGCAATCTGTCGGTTATCTTCAGATGTTTGCTTTAGCAGAGTTCAGCTGAGGGTCAACCACAAACAGAGCTGCAGGTAAAACAATGACACAGTGAGACCATTGATCCCAGAATCTCCACCTTTTAACCGACTTATTCTCCTGTTTTCAGCTCAATGGTCTCCGTCATCTCTTAATAAAACACTAGGAGGAAAAGTAGACAAATCCTCCAGCTTTTAACCGACTCATTCTCAAGTCTTAATTTCTCACTAAAACACCAGGCAAAAAGTCTCATTCACCTTCAACAGGTTGGTGCTTTGGGGACATCTCCTCAGGTTGACCTTGGTGTCCCATGTCTGACCCCAGGTGGAAAAGCTGAGGCCTTATCCACCTTTTAACACTCATTCTCTGATGTTCACCTAGCAGTCTCCAGCATTTCTCAATAAAACCCTAGGAGAGAAAGTAGACGAATCCTCCACCTTTAAACCGACTTATTAAGTTTTCACAGAATATTCTCCTTAATTTCTCAATAAAACACCAAGCGATATTCTTTACAAAAACCTTGTGCTGCATGTGGCAACATGTTGGTGCTTTGGGGACATCTCCTCAGGTTGACCTTGGTGTCCCACGTCTGACCTCAGGTGGAAAAGCTGAGGCCTTATCCACCTTTTAACAGACTTAGTCTCTGGTTTTAAACCCAGTAGTCTCCACAATTTCTTGATAAAACCCTCGGAGAAAAAGTGGATGTTTTCTACAAATCCTCCAACTTTTAACGGACTAATTCTCAAGATTTCACGAACAGTCTCCTTAATGTCTCACTAAATTCCCTAGGAGAAAAGTGGTTATTCTTTACAAAATATAAAATATATTCTGCATCATTTCTCAATAAAATTCAATGCAAAAAGTGGATAACTTCCCAAAAACCTTGCGTTACATGCGGTTCATTTTTCTGGGACATTTCCTCTGGTTGACCTTGGTGTCCGATGCTTGACCTCCAGCCTCGGATTGATCCATACCGCACCGATGGAGCTAATTAATAGGAGCAAGTATCAAATGTAACAGAGCGGCTCTGCTATGCTGACCATGCCGGGAGATACTGATCAGCAGGCGGTTGTGTTAAAAGCGGAGGAAGTCTTCAGTAAAGTAGGTTTTATGTCGAGTAAGAGCGTAACTAGACTAATATGTACTCCAGCTGCCTCCGTGAGGGCGGGAGAAAAACGGTAATTAGTTCCTTTCTTTCCACAAAAATCATCAACGCTTTAGGGAATATGTTTGATATTTATTGAAGCTTTCACTCCATATATACAAGCACCATTATGGACAATGAGTTTGGGGTAAAACAGCTTTCAAATTGTCATAAACAGCCATTTATTGCAGGATAATAAATCTGAATCAAGAGGCAACATGTTCAAATCAAATGGGTGAGGACTGCTGCGTCTCTAAAGCCCACTTCTTAATGAATGGTTAGAATTATGTACAAGGAAACGACACACAAGTCCTTCGTGTGTGTGTGTGTGTGTGTGTGTGAGTGTAATGTACCATAGTTTTTATTTTGAGTATGAGTAACTAGACTCTAACTACAAGGAAATGACAAGTCCTTCTTCTGTTCCACAGTCGTGCTCCTGGAGTTTCTGGTGAGTGTGTGTGTGTGAGGATGTGTGTGAGTGTGTGTGTGTGTGAGTGTGTGTGTGTGAGTGTGTGTGTAATAGGTTTTGTTTTGAGTAAGAGTGTAACTAGACTAACTACTAGAAACGACACAAGTCCTTCTTCGGTTCCACAGTCGTGCTCCTGGAGTTTCTGGAGTTTCGTGTGTGTGTGTGTGTGTGTGTGTGTGTGTGTGTGTGTGTGTGTGTTACAGTTTGAGCTTGACCTCCTTGGCCTCCATGGCCCTGGATGCGACCTTGGCTCTCTCCGTCAGCTCCTCTGCTTGCTCAGCTGCTCCTTGGTTCCTGATGCTCTTCAGCAGGAAGTGGCTGATAAAAAGCTTCAAGCCCTCCCGCAGCATTCCTAGTTTGGGAATTCCTGAGATCCTGGAGGACGGAGACAATGGGACACATTGAAGTCAGATGTTCTCAGGGTGGGAAGCAGTGGTTTTAACACCCGGGGGTTAATGGAGGTCAACAGGTAAGTCGTGCTGCATGAATAGACAATTAGGGTCTCTCCAAGATCTCGTCCAGAGGATGACTCTCTGGTAGTCCTGTTCATGTAGCGCCGATATCAAGCTAAACCTGTCCAATACTTTATAACAACCACCTGCACAAATATACGCCAGGCATTGCTCGGTCTCAGCTAGCTTTGTTTATCGTTAATTACCAAATGTTAGCATACTTAAATGCTATAATTGGATGATGGACGTTGTGTACATTGTAATTGTTTAACATCATTATATTAGCTGTAGCTAAGCACTGTATCATTTGCTGCATTGAAGCTTCTAAGCATGCTCAAAAGCTAAATGAAGAAACTGAACTTAGTCAATCAATCAATCAATCAATGTTTATTTATAGCCCAATATCACAAATGTTACATTTGTCTCAGTGACTTCACAGTTTGTACAGAATATCAGTATGACACCCTCTGTCCTTAGACCCTCTGTCCTCAGACCCTCTGTCCTCAGACCCTCTGTCCTCAGACCCTCTGTCCTTAGACCCTCTGTCCTCAGACCCTCTGTCCTCAGACCCTCTGTCCTCAGACCTTCCGTCCTCAGACCCTCTGTTCTTAGACCCTCTGTCCTCAGACCCTCCGTCCTCAGACCTTCCGTCCTCAGACCCTCTGTTCTTAGACCCTCTGTCCTCAGACCCTCCGTCCTCAGACCCTCCGTCCTCAGACCCTCCGTTCTCAGACCCTCTGTTCTCAGACCCTCTGTCCTCAGACCCTCTGTCCTCAGACCCTCTGTCATTAGACCCTCTGTCCTTAGACCCTCTGTCCTTAGACCCTCTGTTCTTAGACCCTCTGTCCTCAGACCCTCTGTCCTCAGACCCTCTGTCCTCAGACCCTCTGTCCTTAGACCCTCTGTCCTTAGACCCTCTGTCCTTAGACCCTCTATCCTTAGACCCTCTGTCCTCAGACCCTCTGTCCTCAGACCCTCTGTCCTCAGACCCTCTGTCCTCAGACCCTCTGTCCTTAGACCCTCTATCCTTAGACCCTCTGTCCTCAGACCCTCTGTCCTTAGACCCTCTGTCCTTAGACCCTCACATCGTACAAGGAAACACTTCCAGAGAAAACCCACAGTTTAAAGGGAACATGGGAGAAACCTCAGGGAGAGCAACAGAGGAGGGATCCCTCTCCCAGGACGGACAGACGTGCAATAGATGCCGTGTGTAAATCGAAACTGAGTTTAGTCCAAATACCATCATGTTAGCTTAGTCTTTACCCTCGAGGTGTTAGCCAGTAGGAGTGTTCTTTTTCAGTGCAACTTCTTTAGCAATGACTTTCATGCTTTCATCTCAAAACCTACAAGAAGTGAAGCTTTCTTTACCGCTAAACCGGTAAATATTGAACGTTGTAAACATCACACTTGTTTGACCTCATCATGTTTGCTTAGTCTTTGCAAACATGTCAGCATGCTCAAATCTCAACTAGCATTGCCCAAGAGGTGCTAGCAAGGTCCAAAGACACGTCTCCTTTTTCAGTGCCACTTATTTAGCATTTTCTTACATCTCCTAACCTACGAGAAGCAAGTGCATGCGTCTTATTCCGGCTTAAGCATGCTCTAAAGCTGGAATAAGATGTTGAACATGGTAATTATTCAAACGGCATCATATTAGCAGTTTGTTGCATTCATCTCAAATCCATGCTGCAACTGAGCTACCGACTCAAAGCTGTATTCATCAGTGTCTTGAACTCACATGCTTGAATCTTAATAACTAAGTGCTGCACGCTGAAACTCACCTTCCAAATACGCTGACTAGCTCCTCAGGCTCCATTTCTTTCAGCAGTTTGGTGAGCAGCTGACGCAGGAATCGCACCGTGGCTTTATCCAGCTCCCCAAACTCTATCACCTGCACACAAACACACCGGTTCTTTATTGATTTAGCATAATATCAGACGGTACACAAACATCCACAAGACATAACAGAATGAAGAACATTTCCAGCTTGATGACCCTCTCCAGATCTGCATGTTCCAGATAGTTAAGGAAAGGGCCCATACTTTTTTTTAATAGTTCTTGTTTTCCTTTAAAGCTCACCTATCATGCCGTTTGTAGGCAATAGCATAGATCTCAGATATATAAAAATCATGTCTATGTAGTGTTTTGCTCAAAATACCAAACAGATCACCCATTAGCCATGCCTCATATCCCTCTACTTCACTTCCTGTTTCTAAAGTGCTGATTTTAAATATAAAGCTTTAACAAAAAAAAGGTTTTGATAAAAAAGAGGGGCGGAGCTTAAGCGGGAGATTCTGCCGGAAGATGCTGCCGTGATGAAACGCCATATCATGGGTTATCAAGGATCTGAAACAGTCTGGAGCTCAAAAGCTTTCTCTCTTGCCGGTTATACTACAAGGTGAGTTCCTCTCTACTTCCTGCTTCTTCACACACATGCTCTCCAGCACAGGTTAGCTCTGAGTGTTAGCGATGCTAATGTAAACACCGACCATATTACGTCCAGAACAGTCGGGCATTGTTTCTGATAGCAGCTTTCTGATTGGCCCGTGGGTCCACATTTCAGATATTACGTCATATCGGACGCAAATCTGGATCAGCTCCGTTGTTCCCCGTTTTTAGAGATTTGGGTACGGAGGAAAAGAGAGAGGGTTTTATTTCCTGATGCTGCGTGAGTTCCCTGACACACCGGGGACACATGGTGATGGAGAGAAGACATCACAAAGTGCATTTTGCATGATAGGTCCCCTTTAAACTGTGACCTTAAAAAAACTCACCTCTTCAATCTGGCTTTTAATGTGTGATTGTTGTATTGCTTGATTTTAAAATGTGACTATTTATTTGTTGTTCTTTTCTTCATCTCTGTAAAGCAACTTTGAGCACCTGTAAAAGTGCTTACAAAATAAATCTATTATTATTATTAATGAGACACATGCAGACGTACTTTTAGCCATTTACCAACACTTGGACTGTTAACTCAGGGTCTATAAAATAAATAAATAATACAAGTGATAAAGTAATTACTGAAACAAGATATCACAGTAAGAAGTTGTGCATTTGTATGAACATGTTAAATATATTTACACAGGGTATCTGCAGGAATCCTGAAGTCAAATGTAATACATTTTAAGACCTCATCTCCACTTTGAGTTTTAACCGGTTACCCTTGGCGACACACTTTACCTCACATTGACTATATACAGTATTGATTGTCCTTCCTCCTTATCTTCCAACCATTTGGACGCAGACTTGCATTTCCCCATAACGATGTTGTTTAACAACCGGCGTAAACGGAGCTTCGCGCGCTATCAAGCAGTGAGCGTGCGATGTCCTGTTCAGATGACGTCAAACCCAACGGGATGCCATCAATAAACTACAGAATCACACTACACACCTACGCCATGATTACATTCAGGCAGACTGTAGAATACAACCTCTTTGGACCATTCATATACTTATTGAAAACAAGCTACAAAATGGAATACCTTGGAAAATGCCGTTTAATATTTTTTAATAGCCTTAATTTTCGCTAAATTGATTTATCAACTTTTAAGACCCCGCGGACCCCCTGTAACATTTCTCCATTAAAAAGTGCTATCATGCGTGTTCTGTTCTCTCTTCCGTATGTTGTGTTCTTTTGGGTAACACCCTAACAAACATCTCGAAACACACAGGTTTAGTTCATTTACACACGCACAACAAATATATAAAATGTACACAGGACTTGTCCCTTACTTTGAGAATGGAGAGCGAGAGGCACTTCTTCTGCAGGAAGTGAGAGACCAGCTGCACCAGGTTGGAGAAAGTGCTGCTGGGAAGACTGGACAGATCTCTGAACTTATCCCACAGGCTGAACTGGAACGTCATCTAGGAGAGTAAAGGGAATACAGTTGAGAGATGGATAGATGTTAGACATATAGGACAGTATATCAAAGAACGCTTTCAACACAAAGCTATTCAAAGTGCTTTCAACACATGAAAGACATTAAGAAATAGTGCAGCAGAAACATTATACAATGGCATTGAAAAACACTCAAAGATAATAAAAACATGAATAACAAAAAGGAACATGAATAAAAGTTACAGTGGAACGTCATCTTGGAGAATGAGATACTATAAGAACTACTTTATTGATCACAATTTGGGAAATGTTTGCGTCGCAGCAGCATAAAAAGACAAGGCATTTTACATTAGAGAAATTAAAAGACTAGAAATAAATAATCATGCAAGCATGGTGTGGGGTCGGCACCGCGGAACTCAGCCTGGACACTAGGGGTGTGCGATTATGGCAAAAATCATAATCACGATTATTTTGTCAATAATTGATATCACGATTATTTTGACGATTATTCATTGACCATTTATTGAACTTTAAAACAAATAATATTTTACCAATAAACAAGATCAACAAATGTGTTGGAGCGCACTTCCAAAACCATACTAAACATATATTAATATGATAAATAAAAATAAATTAGACCAAAATAAATTAAATCCAACATGTTGCAGTGCACTGTCACAACCTACTGAACACTCCTTAACATATAGCCAACATGTTGGTAAAACATATTCAACATATTCCACTCAGTTAAACGTTGAAGGCTGGCCCACCGTCATGATCCAGAAGTAACAGGAAATAAATGTTGAACAACAATTTAAGACCAAATAAAAATGTTTAGGCCACCATGGCAAATGCTGGTAGGGCTGCTCGTGTCATCTCTTAAAGATTGTTCGCAAGAAACACCAGGCTGTTTACATGGTCTGGTTTCAGAGATGAGCGCAGGCAGGGGACGATATTGCCACCTGTACTGAAGACCCTCAGCCACGCCCCGACACATGGGGTGACGCCGGCCAATCACAAAGCTTTGATGCGTTCAAGTGCATTATTCTGGCACAGGAAGATTATGTTACAGGACATTAACGATAAAACAGAATATTGTTGTTCTATTTTTAGACACATCTCGCGATCGACTAATGGGCACCCCTGGGCTAGACCATAGGTCTGTTGTGGTAGGCAAAGTAGTCAGCTGAAGCCACATCTCTCTCAACTTCCCCACGGCATTTGTCATATAGTCGCAGGCAGCGCAGACCTGCTGAAATAATACCGAGACGGCATCGCGTAACGCTTGCTCCAACGTGTTGACAAGTTGCTTAAAGCCCTGGTTGCTAACAGTGCTAACTGGACACATATCTTTAGCGATGTGAAATGTAATGGCAAAGTACTTGCAAATAGTGGAAATAGTTTTACCCTTCTTTTTAACGAGTTGCTGCTCTTGTTCTGACATCTTCGCTCGCGCTGAACACTCACAACACATGTCACTCCCACGTGGCCGAGTGGGCTTTTAGGGAGGGGCGAAAGCGCACCCAGCAAATAACGTATTTTGTCAATTATGCTGTTTTCATAATCGTCGCAAGCCATAATCGTAATCACGATTAAAATACGATTAATTGCACAGCCCTACTGGACACACACACAAACTCCCAGCCAGACTGCGGGTGTGTGTGTGTGTTCGGGCTGGGTTTCGCTTTGTCTCGCAGACGGCCACTGGGATCACAGGGGGGGGAGGGGCAGGAGCTCCAACAAGCCGTGTGGGACAGAGAGTGAATACACAGACTTTACAGAGATGCTGTGAGAAACCAATGAGAGTTTGGAACATTGAACAATGTGAATATATTCTAGTAGACCCTCAACAATGCAAATGGCCACGACATGGGACCTTTAAGGACTTTCATTTTTGTAAAGCACTTTGAATTGTCTTGTGTTGAAAAGTGCTATTTAAATAAACTTGCCTTTATCTGTTTTATTTGTTCCATGTCATATATATATATATATATATATATATATCAGTGTTGGAGGAGCCTGGGACTTCATACCAAAAACTACACTGTAGCTGCTGAGCAAATGACCATACAGCCTTGAAGCTTGAAACATAGTGACACAACCCTCTCCTCCAGACCCAGCTTACATGTGAAAAAAAAACCGTTCCCAGCAGCTCTTTGATGAAGACAATGCTCATCCGTCTCTGATATGAACCTGGTTTACTAAAGCAAAGTAGGAAAGGTTTTCTCTTCCTCCCTCCATTGTTTGAAGTCTCAGTTAGAGTCAAATAATAAGGGTGTGAAGAGGAGGTGAAGTGAAGGAGCACAGAGGGTCACACACAGTTTAACAGAGTGGGTGGTCACCAGAGGTGGGAAGTACAAATACTTTGTTGCTGTACTTAAGTACATGTTTCTGGTATCAGTACTTTACTCCACTACTTATTTTTCTGATGACTTTTACTCTTACATGTTGAACACAAATACCTGTACTTTCTACTTCTTACATGTTTGAACTCAAATACCTGTACTTTCTACTTCTTACATGTTGAACACAAATACCTGTACTTTCTACTTCTTACATGTTGAACTCAAATACCTGTACTTTCTACTTCTTACATGTTGAACTCAAATACCTGTACTTTCTACTTCTAACATGTTGAACCCAAATACCTGTACTTTCTACTTCTTACATGTTGAACTCAAATACCTGTACTTTCTACTTCTTACATGTTGAACTCAAATACCTGTACTTTCTACTTCTTACATGTTGAACACAAATACCTGTACTTTCTACTTCTTACATGTTGAACTCAAATACCTGTACTTTCTACTTCTTACATGTTGAACTCAAATACCTGTACTTTCTACTTCTTACATGTTGAACTCAAATACCTGTACTTTCTACTTCTCACATGTTGAACTCAAATACTTGTACTTTCTACTTCTTACATGTTGAACTCAAATACCTGTACTTTCTACTTCTTACATGTTGAACACAAATACCTGTACTTTCTACTTCTTACATGTTGAACACAAATACCTGTACTTTCTACTTCTTACATGTTGAACACAAATACCTGTACTTTCTACTTCTCACATGTTGAACTCAAATACTTGTACTTTCTACTTCTTACATGTTGAACTCAATACCTGTACTTTCTACTTCTTACATGTTGAACACAAATACCTGTACTTTCTACTTCTTACATGTTGAACTCAAATACCTGTACTTTCTACTTCTCACATGTTGAACTCAAATACTTGTACTTTCTACTTCTTACATGTTGAACTCAAATACCTGTACTTTCTACTTCTTACATGTTGAACTCAAATACCTGTACTTTCTACTTCTCACATGTTGAACTCTAATACCTGTACTTTCTACTTCTCACATGTTGAACTCAAATACCTGTACTTTCTACTTCTTACATGTTGAACACAAATACCTGTACTTTCTACTTCTCACATGTTGAACTCAAATACCTGTACTTTCTACTTCTCACATGTTGAACACAAATACCTGTACTTTCTACTTCTTACATGTTGAACACAAATACCTGTACTTTCTACTTCTCACATGTTGAACTCAAATACCTGTACTTTCTACTTCTCACATGTTGAACTCAAATACCTGTACTTTCTACTTCTTACATGTTGAACTCAAATACCTGTACTTTCTACTTCTTACATGTTGAACTCAAATACCTGTACTTTCTACTTCTTACATGTTGAACACAAATACCTGTACTTTCTACTTCTTACATGTTGAACTCAAATACCTGTACTTTCTACTTCTCACATGTTGAACTCAAATACCTGTACTTTCTACTTCTTACATGTTGAACTCAAATACCTGTACTTTCTACTTCTCACATGTTGAACACAAATACCTGTACTTTTCTACTTCTCACATGTTTGAACACAAATACCTGTACTTTCTACTTCTCACATGTTGAACTCAAATTACCTGTACTTTCTACTTCTTACATGTTGAACTCAAATACCTGTACTTTCTACTTCTCACATGTTGAACACAAATACCTGTACTTTCTACTAATCTTACATGTTGAACTCAAATACCTGTACTTTCTACTTCTCACATGTTGAACTCAAAATACCGGATCTTTCTACTTCTTACATGTTGAACCCAAATACCTGTACTTTCTACTTCTACATGTTGAACCCAAATACCTGTACTTTCTACTTCTCACATGTTGAACTCAAATACCTGTACTTTCTACTTCTTACATGTTGAAACTCAAATACCTGTACTTTCTACTTCTTACATGTTGAACAACAAATACCTGTACTTTCTACTTCTTACATGTTGAACTCAAATACCTGTACTTTCTACTTCTTACATGTTGAACTCAAATACCTGTACTTTCTACTTCTTACATGTTGAACTCAAATACCTGTACTTTCTACTTCTTACATGTTGAACTCAAATACCTGTACTTTCTACTTCTCTACATGTTGAACCCAAATACCTGTACTTTCTACTTCTTACATGTTGAACTCAAATACCTGTACTTTCTACTTCTTACATGTTGAACTCAAATACCTGTACTTTCTACTTCTTACATGTTGAACTCAAATACCTGTACTTCTACTTCTTACATGTTGAACATCAAATACCTGTACTTTCTACTTCTTACATGTTGAACATCAAATACCTGTACTTTCTACTTCTTACATGTTGAACTCCAATACCTGTACTTTCTTCTTCTCACATGTTGAACTCAAATCCCTGTACTTTCTACTTCTTACATGTTGAACTCAAATACCTGTACTTTCTACTTCTCACATGTTGAACTCAAATACCTGTACTTTCTACTTCTTACATGTTGAACACAAATACCTGTACTTTCTACTTCTTACATGTTGAACTCAAATACCTGTACTTTCTACTTCTTACATGTTGAACCCAAATACCTGTACTTTCTACTTCTCACATGTTGAACTCAAATACCTGTACTTTCTACTTCTTCACCTGTTGAACTCAAATACCTGTACTTTCTACTTCTCACATGTTGAACTCAAATACCTGTACTTTCTACTTCTCACATGTTGAACACAAATACCTGTACATGTGAAATACTGTACTTTACTCTCACATGTTGAACTCAAATACCTGTACTTTCTACTTCTTACATGTTGAAACTACAAATACCTGTACTTTCTACTTCTCACATGTTGAACACAAATACCTGTACTTTCTACTTCTTACATGTTGAACTACAATACCTGTACTTTCTACTTCTTACATGTTGAACACAAATACCTGTACTTTCTACTTCTTACATGTTGAACACAAATACCTGTACTTTCTACTTCTCACATGTTGAACTCAAATACTGTACTTTCTACTTCTTACATGTTGAACTCAAATACCTGTACTTTCTACTTCTACATGTTGAACTCAAATACCTGTACTTTCTACTTCTCACATGTTGAACTCAAATACCTGTACTTTCTACTTCTTACATGTTGAACTCAAATACCTGTACTTTCTACTTCTTACAGGTTGAACTATAAATACCTGTACTTCTACTTCTCACATGTTGAACTCAAATACCTGTACTTTCTACTTCTTACATGTTGAACTCAAATACCTGTACTTTTCTACGTCTTACATGTTAAACTCAAATACCTGTACTTTCTACTTCTTACATGTTGACACAAATACCTGTACTTTTCTACTTCTTACATGTTAAACTCAAATACCTGTACTTTCTACTTCTTACATGTTGAACTCAAATACCTGTACTTTCTACTTCTTACATGTTGAACTCAAATACCTGTACTTTCTATTCTCACATGTTGACACTCAAATACCTGTACTTTCTACTTCTTACATGTTGAACTCAAATACCTGTACTTTCTACTTCTCACATGTTGAACTCAAATACCTGTACTTTCTACTTCTTACATGTTGAACCCAAATACCTGTACTTTCTACTTCTCACATGTTGAACACAAATACTTGTACTTTCTACTTCTCTCATTTTCCAAACAGCTGGTTCCTTTAGTCTGAATGTGTGTTTGGTGCGTGATCATTATTCTTTAGAGTCATTGCGTGCCTATTGATTGGAACACGATCCGTGTATCCATCATTTCCTGGTCTTCTCTAAAGAAGAGGGACCAATGGAAACGTTGTCATGTTGCCGTTGTTCAGCATGGAAACATTCATTAGCTAACAATGACATTATTGTTCTATTAATATAAAGGGAGGTCAGGTACTCTTTAAAGCAGCTGCTAGTTATGGGTACTTTTTACTGAAGTACATTTCAAAGCCTCTTTACTTTCACTTGAGGAAAGAAGTTTAGTCAGTACTTCTACTTTCACCAGAGTATTTTTAAAACACGAGTATCTGTACTTCTACTTGAGTACAGGATGAGTGTACTTTAACATCTCTGGTGGACACATCTATCTATCTAATCTGAGTGCAGTTTATTTGAGGATGTTGTGGTTTGATACGGTTCTGGAGAGTTTAAACACTGCCTGTTTATCTGTGTTTGTGAAAGGTATGTTTGTTATCTTCCTCAGAGGTAATTATCTGGGTTTTAGCATCTCTTAAATACCTGGAATCGTCGGTCGTGAGAACAGAATTTCTCTCCCAGCACGGCGTAATAACCGTTGAATGTTTTCTCCTGCAGACAGCAGTCCATCAGCACGTTAACGATCTCTCTCTCCTGCTTGTCCTTCAGACCCATCCTAACACACAGCAGACAGACAGGCTTTAAAACAAGCATCTCATATGTAGTGTTCATTTCGTCAACGAAAACTATGACGAAAAATGTTCGTCAACGACCTTTTTTACACGACTAAGACGAGACGATGACGAGCTAAAAATAGATTTTTGATTATAAAAACTATGATGAGACGAGACTAAGGTGTTAATGCTGGACTATCGGACATTCAAAATGCAGGATATTTTCCCCCAATTGTCCGTCAAAATGCATCCCTGTTATTGGTTGAATTAGCTGGGATTCTGCACACGTCACTACACAAGTACAGACACTTGATACTGTCACCTTGATTCCAATTTCAGATACCTGTATTTGCCTAAATCAATTAGTTTAAAGAGTGAAAACATTTGGACTAAAATGTAATGATTTTTCATCGACTAAAACGTTTTGAGTTGGATAAAAAGGACTAAAACTAATAACCATTTCCATCTAAAGACTAAATCTGAAATAGCTGCCGAAATGAACCCTGGTAGGAGTATATATATCTCCAGTTCAAACACAGTGAAGTGATGGCAGACCTGATCAGTTTCTCAAAAGCATCCATGAAGTCCTCGCTGGTCATCACCACACAGAAGATGTTCCTCCTGACTTCAGTGTTCATCCTCTGTTTCCTCGCCAGGTCCAAGACTTTAGCGCTGAACTGAAACAGGAACAAAGACACTTAAAAAAGGTCAATCAAATGCAATGCAAGGCTTTATTGTCCTGTGCACAGTAGCTAGTGTAGTTATGGCAATGAAAAACGTCTCCAATAAAGCAACATGAGTATATATAGGACCTAAAACTAATTAACCAAATAAACCGTATCTTTTACATACAATAATAATAATATATGCAAAAATGTACTTCTTATCTTATAATTATGTGTCCCTGTGTGTAAAGAGACTCATAATGTGACAGAATAATCAACCCTCTCATCAAGACTCTCTTAAAGGTCCCATGTCATGCTTTTCTGGTTCTGACCCGTCCACTTGTGTCATGAAGCTTTTTCTGCATGTCAACGTTCTGCAGAGTCACAAAGCCTCAAAGTAAACCCTGCAGCGAGTAAAACTCTAACACAGAGAAGGCCGTTACGTCCGCGGAGCCGTTACGTTTGGACCAATCCGCGGACACACACACACACACACACACACACACACACACACACACACACACACACACACACACACACACACACACACACACACACACACACACACACACACACACACACACACACACACACACACACACACACACCACACACACACACACACACACACACACACACACACACACACACACACACACACACACACACACACACACACACACACACACACACACACACACACACACACACACACACACACACACACACACACACCAACACACCACACACACACACACACACACCACACAACAAACCACACACACACACACCAACACGGCGGACGTTTGCGAGGCTTGCTGCTGCGAGGAGCGGGACACTGTGAGCTGGCTCACTGGTGTGGGGTCGGCGAGACACCGCGGAACTCAGCCTGGGCACACACACAAACTCCCAGCCAGGCTGCGGGTGTGTGTTTGTGTTCGGGCTGGCTTTCGCTGTCTCGCAGACGGCCTGGGCTCACAGGGAGGGGGGGGGGGGGGGGGCAGGAGCTCCAACAAGCCGTTTAGGACAGAGAGTGAATACACAGACTATACAGAGATGCTGTGAGAAACCAATGTGAGTTTGGAACATTGAACAATGTGAATCTATTCTAGTCGACCTGAACTATGGAAATATGATCAGTAGAAATGGCCGTGACACGGGACCTTTAAAAAAAACTGGTGTGAAAAACTGCAAGTCAAGATTTAGTGGAAATGTCACGTAAAGTTTTCTCTGTGGGTTTTTTGGATTAGCGTTTAATTAGCAACGTTCTCCTTTAATTGGTCTTGTTTGGATGTGTGTCGTGTGCTTCCTGTACCTTTCCTTCAGTCTCTTTGGAGGCGTTTTGCTCTCCGATCATCGGCGCTCCGCTCCACGAGGACCCGACGATCCACCATCGCCCGATCTGATCTGCTGCCAGGAGATTATCCAGAGAGACCCTCAGCTTCATGTCACTGCCTCCTGCTCGGCGCTGCACCTGGAGGAACAAGAACAAACCAAGATATTTAGGATCAGAGATGGTTTGATTTCCTCCAATATGTCGGGCCTAGAACATCCGACATATTTCTGACAGTTCTTCCTAGGCCAAGGAATGATGGCTAAGCTCTATAGGGATGACTATGTATTATTTTGTTCATTTCTTGTTTTCTGGGCATGTATGTATGTTTATATATTTATTTTATTTGTTGTGACTTTGTTTCATCATTTTTGTGACTCCTATATATATATATATATTTTTTTTTTAAAATGTAACAGGAATCTGATTTGAGGTCGAGGGAAAATGTTAGACTTCGGTGTGTAAAAGTGGTGCTCTGGCTCCCCCTGGTGGTCAGAAGCTAGTATGACAACAACATTGAAAGAACACAAAAGCCATGTTTAGTATCATATACGCTGCAGGAGAAGTACTCACATCTACTCCTGCTACTGATATCTTAACCTATAATTATATTTCAATGTTTATTCATAAGTGGTTTATATTTTGTATGAGCTAATAATCTGTATATGCAAAGTAAATGGGATGTCTGATTAAATGAAGGGGAGTAGAAAGTACAATATCGGCCGAGTAGAAGCGCAAAGTAGCAGGAAATGCGAGGAGTTTTTACTAATGTAGTGAAATGAGGATATGTTACATTTAGATATAGTGATGTTGTAATTATTAAATACTAAATGACCCACCAGAGTCCTCTGCAGCTTCCTCAGTTTCTCCATGGGTTCAGGATCGTATCCGGGGATTTTCCTCATGTCGTTGTTCTTCAGAGCGAGCATGGTCTCCAGCATGAAGCGCACCTATAGGGCAAAAATCAATACATGCATATCAACTTATGAGATAAGCTAGATTGTCTTCTCTAGTAAGTGGCTTGCTAAAAAATCCTCATCACACAATGGAAAAACGCTTTAATTGACATACTCATCTCAGAACTGTCAATCATATCCCCCCAAACAGCAGCATAGGGCCTCTTTAAAGTACAAAGTGTTGTTGTTACCCTGGTCTGATCCTGGAACTTTGTCCCCACTTCTCCAGCTTTTCTCTGTCCCTCACAGATGAGCTCTTTGAGGGCCAGAGCGTCGTCTTTCCTCAGAGCGAAGCCGACGTTCCTCAGCACGAGAAGAACCAGCTCGATGTCCTTCTCCCTGAAGTCTCCCACCAGGTGTTTGAGGATATCGAAAACGAGCACCGAGTGAACCACCTGGAAGTTGTATAGGTGGCAGATGATGGAGATCAGGTTGTCGCACTCCTTGGTTTCCGAAGGGTTCTTGTACACTTCGTCAAACTGTCGAACAACCGTCTCCAGGAAGTGAGCTCCGACCTGGGGAATAATCAGAAGAATACAAAACATCAGGTATCAACTAAATGGAAGTTAAATAAAGGGGGAACAGACATCAGGTGTGTGAGCCTTATTTAAGTGTGATCTAAAGTAAAGAAATACAATTATTTCATGATTGTTGTTGACGGAGCAGTGGCTCTACTTAATCCCCAGATTCAAGCAATTGAGTTAGCGTTCAACTCATAACTCATCAAATTAGAAAACTACAAAATAAGTCAACACTTTTCAAACCTTTCCTTATATAATCTCAAACATGTGTGTTGTGACGAGTGCTCATTTTGTCAGCTATTTTTTTATTTAGTTTTAGTCATACTTAATCACATTCATCCTGTTTTTGTTTAGTCAAGATTTAGTCGACTAAAAGTCTGAGCATTTTAGTCTTATTTTAGTCAAAGAAAACTCATTATTTGAGTCTACTTTTTGTCAATGAAAACTGTTGAGTCTTTTTTAGTCATCAGAACAGAACATTTCAGTCAAACTAGCCAAAACCAATAATTTGTCATTTTAGTCAAACTTATTTCCCAATAAGATTATATCTTGTCCCTATTTGATGAATGACGGGTTGAATGATGAAGAAAGCAGCTTTGCAGAGAGTACCTGGTCAGGTTTGTGGTGTTTTTACCAGCTGTGGAACGGCCACATTGCTTCCCTTCTGACAGGGGGGGGGGGGGCATTTTCCTTTCTGTTAAATAAGGTTCGTTAGATCCGAGTCTTCCTGACAGTTCATATTGTGCCACTGCCCGGTGTTATTCAAATGTGCCGCCGCGCTGGGAGAAAAACTGACTATCAGATGTAACGTTATCTTTGATAATATTTCGTCTCCTCATTTTACGAAAGTAAAGAGAGATTTTGGCAAAGTTTTTATTTAGTAAACTACATTTTCGTCTCGTCACTTTTCGTCAACGATATTGCATGTTGATTTAGTTAGTTATTGTTTACTGCCGTCTGTGCCGTCTCGTCATCGTCTCGTTTTAGTCATGGAAAAAAAGGTCGTTGACGAACATATTTCGTCATAGTTTTAGTCGACGAAAGGAACACTAGTTGTGACCACCTCGACTGAATTCAATGTGACTAATTACCTGTTTTAGGGCTTTGAACATGATGAGGCAATCCTAGGTGTAAGATATCACTTTCTAATTGATTAAAGAGCATCATGTAACAGTGTAGGAATCAGATAATCCCATTGAGGCGTCTAATGAATAACCCAGGAGGACATGTCAGCTCTCAGGTCAGTGGTTAGTTACCAATCCTCTCACACAAGCTACTTGATACCTGAGGGATGTACTGCAGTCAACAGATCTGAGAGATATAGGAAAACAAACAATATGACGGCTTAAGAACTAGTTGCTGCAAATAACTGAGGAAAGCTTAAAGAAATGTGTAAATCCATTTAGTGTCTCTACTGTGACATGTCTCCATGCTTTAATGTTCATTCTGCCTGTGCTGCAGCAGCTCCTTTCACCCTCTGTCTGAAACCAGAGTTTCCAAAGTGCTGATTCTCTGTCTGTTACTTTAGATGAAAATAAGGAGCCCCTCCCCACGCCCCTCTGAGAGAGATTTAGTTACAAAGAACTCAATGGTGCTCTAGAGGAGATTCAGGTGATAAGAGGGGGGGGGGGGGTTACCTTGGTTGCTGATTGGCTAATGGTTACACAAGACAAAACAGAGAGGACACATGTTGATGTAGAAGAGACATGAAGAAGAGGAGACACATGTTGATGTAGAAGAGACATGAAGAAGAGGGGACACATGTTGATGTAGAGACATGAAGAAGAGGGGACACATGTTGATGGAGAAGAGACATGGAGAAGAGGGGACACATGTTGATGTAGAAGAGACATGAAGAAGAGGGGACACATGTTGATGTAGAAGAGACATGAAGAAGAGGGGACACATGTTGATGTAGAAGAGACATGGAGAAGAGAGGACACATGTTGATGTGGAAGAGACATGAAGAAGAGGGGACACATGTTGATTGGAAGAGACATGAAGAAGAGGGGACACATGTTGATGTGGAAGAGACATGACAGAAGAAGGGGACACATGTGATGTAGAGACATGAAGAAGAGGGGACACATGTTGATGGAGAAGAGACATGGAGAAGAGGGGACACATGTTGATGTAGAAGAGACATGAAGAAGAGGGGACACATGTTGATGTAGAGACATGAGACGAGGGGACACATGTTGATGTAGAAGAGACGTGAAGAAGAGGGGACACATGTTGATGTAGAAGAGACGTGAAGAAGAGGGGACACATGTTGATGTAGAAGAGACATGAAGAAGAGGGGACACATGTTGATGTAGAAGAGACATGAAGAAGAAGGGGACACATGTTGATGTAGAAGAGACATGAAGAAGAGGGGACACATGTTGATGTAGAAGAGACATGAAGAAGAGGGGACACATGTTGATGTAGAAGAGACATGAAGAAGAGGGGACACATGTTGATGTAGAAGAGACATGAAGAAGAGGGGACACATGTTGATGTAGAAGAGACATGAAGAAGAGGGGACACATGTTGATGTAGAGACATGAAGAAGAGGGGACACATGTTGATGGAGAAGAGACATGGAGAAGAGGGGACACATGTTGATGTAGAAGAGACACGAAGAAGAGGGGACACATGTTGATGAAGAAGAGACATGAAGAAGAGGGGACACATGTTGATGTAGAGACATGAAGAAGAGGGGACACATGTTGATGTAGAAGAGACATGAAGAAGAGGGGACATGTTGATGTAGAAGAGACATGAAGAAGAGGGGACACATGTTGATGTAGAAGAGACACGAAGAAGAGGGGACACATGTTGATGAAGAAGAGACATGAAGAAGAGGGGACACATGTTGATGTAGAGACATGAAGAAGAGGGGACACATGTTTGATGTAGAAGAGACATGAAGAAGAGGGGACACATGTAGAGAATGAAGAAGAGGGGACACATGTTGATAGAAGAGACATGAAGAAGAGGGGACACATGTTGATGTAGAAGAGAGACATGAAGAAGAGGGGACACAGTGTTGATGTAGAAGAGACATGAAGAAGAGGGGACACATGTTGATGTAGAAGAGACATGAAGAAGAGGGGACACATGTTGATGTAGAGAGACATGAAGAAGAGGGGACACATGTTGATGTAAGAAGAGACATGAAGAAGAGGGGACACAGTGTTGATGTAGAAGAGACATGAAGAAGAGGGGACACGTGTTGATGTAAGAAGAGACATGAAGAAGAGGGGACACATGTTGATGTAGAAGAGACATGAAGAAGAGGGGACACATGTTGATGTAGAAGAGACATGGAAGAAGAGGGGACACATGTTGATGTAGAGAGACATTGAAGAAGAGGGGACACATGTTGATGTAGAAGAGACATGAAGAGAGGGGGACACATGTTGATGTAGAAGAGACATGAAGAAGAGGGGACACATGTTGATGTAAGAAGAGACATGAAGAAGAGGGGACACATGTTGATGTAGAGACATGAAGAAGAGGGGACACATTTGATGTAGAGACATGAAGAAGAGGGGACACATGTTGATGTAGAAGAGACATGAAGAAGAGGGGACACATGTTGATGTAGAAGAGACATGAAGAAGAGGGGACACATGTTGATGTAGAAGAGACATTGCAGAAGAGGGGACACATGTTGATGAAGAAGAGACATGAAGAAGAGGGGACACATGTTTGATGTAGAGACATGAAGAAAGAGGGGACACATGTTGATGAGAGACATGAAGACGAGGGGGACACATGTTGATGTAGAAGAGACATGAAGAAGAGGGGACACATGTTGATGTAGAAGAGACATGAAGAAGAGGGGACACTGTTGATGTAGAACAGACAAGAAGAAGAGGGGACCATGTTTGTAGACATGAAGAAGAGGAGACACATGTGATTAGAGACATGAAGAGACGGGGGACACATGTTGATGTAGAAGAGACATGAGAGAAGGAGGGGGTACACATGTTGATGTAGAAGAACATGAAGAAGAAGGGGACACATGTTGATGTAGAAGAGACATGAAGAAGAGGGGACACATGTTGATGTAGGAGAGAAGAAGAGGGACACATGTTGATGTAGAAGAGACATGAAGAAGAGGGGACACATGTTGATGTAGAAGAGACATGAGAAGAGGGGACACATGTTGATGTAGAAGAGACATGAAGAAGAGGGGACACATGTTGATGTAGAAGAGACATGAAGAAGAGGGGACACATGTTTGATGTAGAAGAGACATGGAGAAGAGGGACACATGTTGATGTAGAAGAGACATGAAGAAGAGGGGACACATGTTTGATGTAGAAGAGACATGGAGAAGGGGACACATGTTGATGAAGAAGAGACATGAAGAAGAGGGGACACATGTTGATGTAAGAAGAGACATGAAGAAGAGGGGACACATGTTGATGTAGAAGAGAC